TCAGGCTAGTAATAAGCATCTTAGGTAGATTACTAGTAATAAAAATGATCCCCTCTATAACAAAGGCATCATTTTAGTCCCATTTTACAGATAAGGAAATAAGCCCAGAGAGGCTAAGAACCTTGCCCCAAGTCATGTGGGCTAGCAAGCAGTGCTGATTTCATAGATTCTGCTTGTCCCATTGGGCTGTTGCATAGCCCTGTGGTAGGAGCAGCAAATGGGTCTCTGCTTTCAAAGTTTAGTTTGTGGTGAAGCACAGAGAGCCCTGGATGAAGTTTTGTAATTAAGTAGCAAAGCCATTTTGTCTTGATTCTATTATGAGGTCCATTGTTAACCTTTGGCAACTGTCAGACTCTCCATTCGGGGACGAATGAAGTCAACTTTCCTCGCCATTGGGGTTTGAACCATCTTCTGCACTTCTGCCATTTTCCCTCTGAGCTAGAAGCTTTCGGGAACCAGGGCTGGGGGTGGGATATATGTTGGATGGAGCTGCTGAGTAAACTCCCCATCTGAATTACCCCAGTGCTGTAGATGTCCCTGGGCAGCGTATGTGGGCAGGAGGCCTTCGATGTCTGAGCTATTCTCTCCCCAGGTGCTCATAGGCCCCAAGTTCCTGAGCTGAGCTTTCCTCAATGTGAAATGTACCTTCTTTTCTGAAAGGAAAGTACATCTCAGCTCTGGCACCCTGCCTGGGCTCTGGATACAGAGGGGCAGCTTGTCACCATCCTGAAGGGAAGAGGAATGAGAAATGGCTCTGTATGAATAAGCTCTCTATAGCAATAAGCAATGCCTGCTATTTTCTGAGCTCTGCCCTTCAAAATATTACAGTTTTTTGAGTATGACCTTGAGCAAATTCAACTTTTCGGATCCTCAGTTTCCTCATCTGTAAAATAGGAGTCCGAATGAAAGAAAATGCATATGAAGTTCTTAGCATAGAGCCTCACACATGAATTAGTTTAATCGATCGAGAACTATTGAGTATGTGCCAGGCACTGTGAAAGGCACTGGGAAATGAAGCAAATAAAAATCTCCATCCTATGGAGTCCACATTCTAATGGACAATACCTCATAAGTATTCAAAACTGTAATAGAATAATCATAATTTTTTTCAAAATTCTGTTTGGGAGGTAGCAGAAAGGAATGTGGTTATGGAGAAAACAAAGCACAAAGAGTTATTAAAACAATTTCCACTCAAACCTGGCTAATTTGATTAGAGGATGTGTGTTGCCTCCAAAGGAATTTGGGGATTTGGTGAAGAAATAAAGGTCTTTTTACTCCTGCACAAACCTCTGATTTGATGGAAGACCAGCAGCTGCAGTTGGAGTCCCAGAATGGTTGTGCATCGAACCCTAATTTTCTAAGGTCTAGAACTGGAGGCACCCGGGTCCTGTACTGTCACATGTGTCTAATCAATGTTCCTGCCTGCCTGGTTCTATTTGAGTCATCTGGGTTTTATTTTCATTCGATCTCTGCCGGCTGCTAACAAACACCATCTCCTCCTACTCTTTTCAGGCAAGAACGGGGCCGGAAAGACAAAGTCTTTCTCCAGAGCAAGAGTCCTGGAGTGGGAGATAGTCTCTCCCCGATGGTTCCCAAGGAGAAACATGCAGGGGTGACTCAGGCCCTGCTTTGGGGTTGTCTCTCGTACCAGTAACTAGCGGAGGCGGGTCCTCTCTTAACTGTGCCTGTGAACGCCTTCTAGAAATGTTTACAACTCTTGCCTGACCAGCTGTCTGCCACATTCCCTCCTCTCCTTCTCCCACCTTAGCTCCTCCCTCACTTCCCCTTGACCATGGTCCTGGTTTCCCCATTTTCTGCCTCCATCATGATGAGCCCTGATAATATCATGGTTCTTAAAAGGAATTTAGACCAGTCTCCAGCTTTTTCGGGTGAGGGGAAGTAATTAACCCAAAGTCACACCGCTTCATTCATTTATTCACTCAACCAAGAGCACGCCTTACCCTTTAAGACTTAGCTTAATTGTCACCTCATGGGGAAACCTGCTTTGACTACTTTATCTAAAGCAGACCCCTCCCCCCATTCTTCTCTATTTCTGTCCCATGTTTCTTTTTACCCTTTATCACAATTTCTAATTGTTTCATTTTTTAATCTTTTTCGTCTGACTCCTCTACTAGAATATAAGCTCTATGAGGGCAAAAAGGACATGTTTGTCCTTCAGTGATGAGCATGCACTGTATTCTCAGCATCCAGCACATTAATAGGTGGTTCAAGAAGTCTTTGCTGAATTGCCCAGCTGGTGTGGCTCAGTGGTTTAGTGTCAACCCATGAACCAGGAGGTTACAGTTTGATTCTGGTCAGGGCTCATGCCCAGGTTTTGGGCTCCACCCCAGTGGGAGGGCTTGCAAGAGGCAGCCAATCAATGATGCACTGTCATCATTGATGTTTCTACCCCTGTTTCCCTCTCCCTTTCTCTCTGAAATCAGTTTTAAAAAATACATTAAAAAAGTAAATCTTTGCTGAATTAATTAAGGTACAGTGAGCAGGTAGCCTCAAGGCACCTGGGGATATGAAAATAGATGGGACATAGTCCCTGCTTTCAGAACTGCCTTGTTTTAGCAACAGAACCAAATAATTCGGAATGTGATGGGAACAGGTCCAGATTGGAGATCCAGGTTGGGGACGGGGGCAGGGTATTTTAGGGGCACCTAAAACAGGCTAGATCTGCCCAGCTGGCTTGGCTCAGTGGTTGAGCCTCGACCTATGAATCACGGTTCAATTCCCGGGCAGGGCACATGCCTGGGTTGCAGTCTCCATCCCCAGTGAGGGGCGTGCAGGAGGCAGCCAATCAATGATTCTCTCATCATTGATGTTTCTATCTCTCTCCCTCTCTGAAATCAATAAAAATATATTTAAAAATAATAAAACAGGCCTAATCTCTCTGGGGCTTTTGTTAACAACTGCTTAGAAGCCAGGATAAACCATTTGGCTGTGACTCAGGCCTGTGTCCTGCGCAGCCCAGTAGCATCAGGGGCTGACATCTCATCTCCTGGAGTGTGTGCCCCCCTTCCAGTGAGGGAGGGCTTGGCTGGCAGTGTCACAAGTCCAGTTGGTAGCCAAGCCCACAGCCATGGAGGCCCCAGCGATAGCCCCACACCTTCCAGCCTAGTTTCTAATCTTTTGCCTGGTCTTCTGCTTCAGGACAGACCCTGTGCAGCCTCAAGGAAGGTGACACCTGCCCAGCCTTCAGGATTAGTGGGGTGACAGCTGTCCCAGCTGGGTAGCCTCCATACCCAGAGGGCAGATGGGTTGTCCCACATGGCTCGGAGAAAGCTAGAGCCTCAGAGAGAAGAGGATGGCCTGCCTTCTTGTTCAGGAACCCCGAAGAGGAGGAGGAGGGAGAGCAGTGAGAATCCCTTTCTTTGAAGAGAGGGTCCAAGCCCCTGCTGGCTCTCCTGGGAGGAGCTCACCCCTCAGTCCAATCTTCTCCCTACAGTGGGGCAAGATGGCAGTTGCTGCTGCTGTTTCTCAAAGCTCACAGCATGCAAGAAACCTCTTCTTTCCTCCTCTTCCCTTTCCAGATTCACCCTCCACCCCACCCGCCAGGAGCCTCAGGCCTGGGCAGCCTGAACCCTCCTTCCAGCTAAATCAGCGGTTCTCAACCTGTGGGTCACGATACCTTTGGCGGTCGAACGACCCTTTCACAGGGGTCGCCTAAGACCATCCTGCATATCAGATATTTACATGACGATTCATAACAGAAGCAGCATTACAGTTATGAAGTAGCAACGAAAATAATTTTATGGTTGGGTCACAACATGAGGAACTGTATTGAAAGGGCCAGAAGGTTGAGAACCACTGAGCTAAATGATGAGCCTGCCCAAAGCACCCCCCTCCAGCCCCCCCCCGCCCCCCATGCCAGGGTTGGCTGCTCGGGGCTGAGCCAGAGTCCTCCAGCTTCCTCCATCATTTCCTACCTGCCGCCTGGCTGACCAAAATGACTCAACACCTTGAGTGTCACAGAGCAGTTTTAGCTCTCATCCCCATGGGTACAGGGGCTGGGGATTATCTCCAACTTTATTCAGAAAGGTTAAGTAACTTGCCCGAGGTCACACCGTGGGAAAGTGGCAAGAACAATCAAACGAAAAACCAAACTTGCATCTCCCGCTCAGTAGCTTGGCAAGTGCTGAAATGATCTTTGTGGGGAGGGGAAACGCTGCTGTTCCTTCATTTCGCTGGCCCGTGGGTGCGTGTGTGTGCTGGGGAAGGGGATTGTGTGTGTGTGTGTTGGGGGGCGGGGGGGGGGGTCCTGTCCCTTCCTAAATGAACCTTTGACCTCCTTAGTTCACTTTCGCTGCCGAAGAAGTTACTGCTTTAACTCTCGTCTCTCCGACTGGACTCGTGTGTACCTTATCAGAGCGCTGCCCAACAGCAGTGAGGAGCAGGGCTAATGTTTTCCTTCTCAAAAGAGCAGACACCCCCCCCCCATCCAAATAGCCTCACTTCCCCCCAAACTGTATACTCAGAAGCACATACAAAGCAGCACCTGCCCCTGGCACAGCCCGCAGGTGCCCCCACACTCCCCCCGAGCCCCGCCACGCGGCGGTGGAGGCGCGGGGAGGCCGCGGAGCGCGGGGCGGGCGCGGCGGGCGGGCGGGGCGGGGGGGGCGCCGGGCGCGCTGCCAGGAGGGCCGCACCGGGGGGCCGGCCGCCCCTCTAGCCACGTGGTGGTGGCAGCGGCGGGGTCCGGGGCGCCTTCCCAGCTGGAGAAACCCGGAGCAGCCGGAGAGGAGGAGGCGGCGGCGGCGGCGGAGGAGGAGGAGCGGGGCGGGCGGGAGGGAGGGGGGCTGGGGGAGGGCTGGGGGGTGGGGAGGGACCCGGCGGCGGCGACAGGGCGAGAGCGAGCGCGGTGCCAGGGGGGTGGGGGCACCGGTGCCCGTCCGGGGAGGGAGCCGGCGGAGGGGGTGGCGGCGATCACCAGCAGGAACCGCGGCAGCCGTGAGTCCCGGCGGAGCTGGGCGGGGGAGGGGCGCGCCCCGGGCCGGCTCCCGGGGGTCGAGGGGGCCCGGGAGGAGGTGGCGGGAGGGGGGCCGGCACTTGGCCCAGGATGGCGGGGAGGGGCCGGACCCGGCGTCCGCCGCCCGCATCCTGGCCCTGGCCCCGCTCCGCCGCTCCTCAGGCCGCGCCGCCTCCCGAGCCCCTGCCCCGGCCCGGGGACGGCTGACCGGGCCCGGCCCGCGGCGGGGAGGGGGCCGCGCGGTCTCAGCCCGCCGGAGGGGAGGGGCGACGCTTTCTGTCGGCGGAGCTGAAGGGGTTTAAAGGGCGGCTCTTAAAGGGGCCGCAGAGGGGCCCGGGCCGAGGAGGCACCCCCTCCCCATCCGCCCTTCGCGGTGCCACCCGGGGCCGCCGGGCGGAGGGGAGAAGGCGGGGGAAGGAAACAGTCGGGGCGGCGCGGGGCCGAGCCCCTGCGAGTGCGGGGCCCGCGGTGGCGGGCGGGGGTCGGCTGTGGGTGTGGTGCGCGCTGGCCGGCGGGGCTGGGGGAGGGGACGGCCTGGAAGGAAGGGGTTAACGGTGCGGCCAGCCCTCCGAACGGGCGCACACGCTCCGCACTCGGTCCGGGGCGCACGCGTCTCCCTGGCACCTAATGGCGGGGGAAGGGGTGGGGGAGGGCGGTATGGGGTCCCGGGCCTGCGCCCCTGCCACCCCAGGTCCTGCTGCAGGGCTACGGGGGGTCGCGAACCCCACTGTCTGCACTCACACCTCCGGAGCCCTCTCTCCTGCACACACACGGGCTCCGGCGCGCGCACACACCTCGGACATTCCCATAGTCCCTCACGTGACCCAAACGTGCCCACCCGCACACACGCTCACGCACGCGTGCACACACGCGCGCACACACACACGCGCACACACACAAACACACACGGCCGCTTGGCGGCTCCATCCTGACCCCCGCGCGCAGCCCCGCTCGGGCGCTCGCGGAGTGTAACGCACCTACACTCATTCACAGACACACACGGCCCACACATGCCAACTGCAGACACATTCATAAACAGGCCGGGAGCAGCGCGCGCACCCCCGCGCCCAGCCCACTCTTTCGGGAGCCCTGAGTCATTCCTGCCCCCTCCCAGGGCTCCCCATGTCGCCGTGTGCGCGCCCCCAGGGCGGGCTGGGGGACTCGGGCAGCCCTCTCCAGCGGGGCCGGGCCCTCTCCCAGCCCCCTGCCCCTCTGCGCATCCTGACGCTCTTCCAGGACTTCCTGTGGGTCCCAGGTCAGGGGTGAGGAGGGCCTGGAGGGTGGCCATGGCCGCGGAGAGTGGGGGAGGCATTTCCTTTTCCTGAACTCTGGGATCCTGCAGGAGGAAGCTGGGGAGTTGGGCGGGGGCCCAGCAGAGGAAGTGCTGACAGTGGTGGGGCTGACCCTCCCAGGAGCACTGAGCCTTCCTTAGAGACGAGCCAGGGGTGCCAGAGGCCGGGGATGAGGGGCTTGGCAGAGAGGTATTTGGGGGAAATGAGGCCTGGGGTGGAGAAGGGGCTGAGGCGAGTCAAGGCCGGCCCCCCTGTGGGCCCCATGCTGAGAAGGCAGCGCTCTCCAGTTCACTGGGTTCCAAAAGGAGCTCATCCCTGTTGCTAGACTGGCTTATGTGCCCCAACTTGTCATCTCCCCCTTGCTTCCCACCCCCAAGTCTTCACCTGGTCCCAGCCCCTCGCCCCAGCCGATGCAGGGAAGGGATGATGGGGCTTGGTGGTCTGGAAGCGGGCTGTGGGAGATGGTGGGGCAGGACCTGGCTGCCTCTCAGCTGGTCACAGGGCTCCTCAGGCCAAGACTAGGGGTGTCAGGGGACAAGCTTCAGGCCGCCCCCTCCACCATGTCTCCTGCTTTCCCAGGAGGCCCAAGGGGTGCTGCAGCCCAGGCCCTCGCCATGGAGTCCATGTTTGAGGATGACATCAGTATCCTGACCCAGGAAGCCCTGGGCCCCAGTGAGGTGTGGCTGGACGCTCCTGGAGACCCATCGCTGGGGGGAGACATGTGCTCTGCCTCCCACTTTGCCCTCATCACGGCCTATGGAGATATCAAGGAGCGTCTGGGGGGCCTGGAGAGGGAGAATGCCACCCTTCGGCACCGCCTCAAAGTTTATGAGATCAAGGTCAGAACTTGGAGATGATGGGGGTCTGGCTGTTTGTGTGTGTGTGTGTGTGTCGGGGGGGGAGGGGGGCTGCTAAGGCAGGAATTGGGGATTCAGCAGAGATTCTAGGGATCCGAAAGGGAGGTCAGGATACAGACTCTTGACACTTGAGAGTCCCCCATGAGAGATGGGGGTGCTTTGGATGGGAACTCTGGGTAGCCCAGAGTCAATCAGGAGGAGATCAGGAGGGATACGCGTTGGAGTGGCGGGCCTGGGGTCTAGAGATATGGGGTGTGGGAAATGCCTACAGGCCCATGGGAACTGGGATGTGCGGATCCCACTGGAGGAGGGGGACAATGAACCCGCAGCCTGGGAAGGGAGCCAGGCACCAGCTCTCCTGAGGGCCTGCCCACCATCCACAGTACCCTCTGATCAATAACTTCGGAGAGGAGCACGGCTTCTCTCTGTATGAAATCAAGGATGGCTCCCTGTTGGAGGTGGAGAAGGTCAGCCTACAGCAACGGCTCAACCAGTTCCAGCATGAGGTGAGCCCCTGGCAGGCCTCTGGGCTTTCCCTAAGCTTGCTCCAGTCAATTTCAGACACCTCCCCGACCCACCAGCCTCCGGCCTTCTGTCCCCTTGATCAGAGATGGCCATGATCCCCCTTAGGGCTGGCCACAGCTCCCCCTGCCCCTTTCCTGGTACTGGGAACGGGGGTGGGAGGCACAGGGAGTGGGAGACACTAAGCCAGCGATGGGCCTGACTGGCGTGCACCCCAACCCTCCGGGCCCCCATCCAGTTGCAGAAGAATAAGGAGCAGGAAGAACAGCTCGGGGAGATGATCCAGGCTTACGAGAAACTCTGTGTGGAGAAGAGCGACCTGGAGACAGAGCTTGGGGAGATGGTGAGGCCCAGGGAGCTGGGGTGGGAGAGTGTGACCCGGTTGTGTGTCACCCTGTGAGTGTGCTTGTGGTGTGCACCCCGCTGCGATCCCGTGTGTCTGTCCGTGAGTATCCATTTGGCCTTGTAAGTGGGGCTGTGTGTGCCGTGTCGGTTGTGAGTGACTGTGTATGTACTGACCATGCAGTGTCGGGGGGTGACTGTGTGAGTGACTCTGTAGAACATTGTGTCTCTGTGTGTATGTTTGAGTCTCCTGCTGGGTCTACCCTGGGCCTACAGCACTGCTCCTGGAAGGCTTTGTAGGTGAGGGCAAAGGTGACCGGAAGTGTCTGCGGCTGCTGGGATGGGTCTTGGCATGTGTGTGAATCAGGGTATGGCCATGTGTGTGTGAGCAAGTGAGCAGGGGTCAGAATCAGGAGGCATGGTCTCTTTCCACTCCTAGCTGCCACCTGGGGGAAGTCACGTAGCCTCCATTCCTCCTCTGAAAAGCGGGGCAGATAACCTCCCTCAGCTGTTGTGGACATTAGTGTAAAAATGCTTTGCTTTAATAATCAAAAGCACTTACGCGGCACTTGCTAGGTGCCAGGCACCATTCTTATCTCTTTAGATAGTTACTCATTTTCGTCCTGATGACAAACCTAAGAGGTAGGTGTGGTTATCCCTATCTCATAGATGAGGTAGAGGAAGCCAGAGTGGTTGTTGCATATGCAAATGGCCCTGAGGTGGTGTCTGGACAGGGGGCTGAGGCTTCCTAAAGTGTCCCTGTGTGTTAGGGACATGGAAGGGGCATGAACTCTGACCTTGCAAGAGGCAGTAGCCAGAAACATCTGCACTGCAGTTGCTGGGAGAGGAGCCCTCGAACTCATGGTCACTGGAGGGTGGCGTGACCCGGGGCCTGCTCAATTTGGGGGTGATGGCTGTTCAGACAGGGCATTCGGGGGGCTCCAGGGGCACCCTGGCCCTGTGCAGACCCTCACCCCCTTGTTTCCCACACAGCGGGCCCTGGTGGAGACCCACTTGCGGCAGATCTGTGGTTTGGAGCAGCAACTGCAGCAGCAACAAGGCCTCCAGGACACAGCGTTCTCCAGCCTGAGCCCCCCGCCGGCCCCGCCCTGTGCTGATCTGGACCTGCACTACCTGACCCTGAGGGGGGGATCTGGCTTGAGTCACGGTAAGATCTCAGCTCCCCCTAAACTTCCCTACCCCGAACTCCCCAAGCCAAACCCCCATTTCAACACCATTGGACACCCCCAACTTCTCAGGTAGTCAACGCCCCATTATAATGCTTTGCATTTCCCCCATAATCACCCCACCTCCCCACCTGTTCCCTCACCCCATCCACTACTACCCCAATTTCTGCCATCTAAGTCCCTCTCCCGCCACCCTGGCTACCCCCATGCAATTCTCGTAGGTGCCAGCAGAGGGCACCCCAAACCAGAGTCCCCTGCCTGCTCTAGGTTGTGATTAGGAGAGGTCCTGAGGAAGCTCAGGGACTTGAGTCTGGCCAGGGGAGTCCTTCAGGGGCCATCTTCTTTTTCCCTGGCCTCCAGGAAGGTTAGGAACAGCAGCCCAGCTCCCCCTGGCACACTGTCCTCATTCTGGGTGTCTGTCCTCTAGCTGTCTGTCTCGGGTCCCTCCTGCTGCAGTCCTCACCTCTCCTCCTGTGTTGGTCTGGGAGGCAGTGGAGGTGCCCAGCAGCTGGACTCAGCCTGACGGTGTGCTCTCCCCGCCAGCAGGCTGGCCAGGCCCCGCGCCGAGTGTGAGTGAGCTGGAGCGGAGGCGCCTGGAAGAGGCCCTGGAGGCTGCCCAGGGCGAAGCCCGGGGGGCTCAGCTCCGGGAAGAGCAGCTCCAGGCCGAGTGCGAGCGGCTGCAGGAGGAGCTGAAGCAGCTGCAGGAGACCCGGGCCCAGGTGAGCGACAGCAGGGCACAGGCCCGGGGCCCTTGCTCTGGGACCTCTACGGCTCCGTGGAGGCCTGGGGGCTGCTGCAAATAGCATTGAGAGGTTTAAGACTTCCTCTCTGGGTGCAGCCGTCCCTGGGAACGGTAGAGGAGGGGAGTCCAGACCAGATGAGGTTGGCGTCAGACCTCTCCGTCTTCTCCCTTAGGATCTGGCCTCCAACCAGTCGGAGCGGGAGATGGCGTGGGTGAAGAGAGTCGGAGATGATCAGTAAGTCATGCCTGCAGTCCTCTCCCTCTTCACCTCTGAACCCCAGCGGTGGCGTTTCCCAGGCCCTCCCTTTGATTGACGTCTCCCTTTGGCGTTGTTTGGGGGGGGGCCTCTCTTCCAGGCCGTCAGAGCTGTGGGGTTTGGGTTGCTTGTGTGACTGCATCCTTCACAGGAAGGAGGCGAGGTTTTGGGGGTGCTCGGGCTCCAGGAGGTTCCCTTTGCTTTCCTCTGGCACCCAAGGCTGTGTCTGCTCGAGGTCGTTGAGAGAGGCTGCCTCAGCAGCTTGCTGCTATGTTCTGTGTCCCCTGCTGAGTTTTGGGGCCTCTCTGGGGCCAGGAACAAGGCCCAGCCAGTTCGGTTAGCCCTGCCCTCCCCTCCCTGATGAAGAGGAAGGAGATGGCTTGTTTTTTATGGGATTTATGGTGCCTCATCTGTCTCAGGAGAGGGTTGGAGGGACTTCCTGGGGGGGGGGAGGATTAGAATGTACTCAGCTGGGTGCCCCTCTGGAATCCTGCCAGGAAAGAAGGGAAGCTGGAAGTAGGAAGGGAGCTATGTCAGTGAGGAGCCAGATGGTGGGGGCTTCTGGGGCAGCTCTGGGCAGCTGGGCAAGGGAGAGCTGGCAGCCGGGTAGCAGTGAGCCTGATGCCTTTCAACATCCGCACCAGCTCATCCTCTCCCACTTTCTGAGAAATAGGGTGCAAACCTCCTTCCGCCTAAGCCCTCTCCCCTGAGATGAGGTGTATGGCACAGGCTTTCTCCCTCCATTGGAGGGGAAGACGGAGGCCCAGAGGGGGGCAGCAATTCACCCTCCATCACACAGCATACTCTGCTATAAGCCCCCAGAGGTCCTCCCCCAGCAGGCTTCCTCCTCACCTTCCTCCCAGCTTCTGGCCAGTTGGGGATCTCCTCACCTCCCTCTGCACCCTGGGGTGGGGGCCTGGGTGGAGCTGTGATAGCTGGAGGGGGGAGCGGGGGGTGAGAACACAGTTTGTGGGCCTGGTGGGTGGGACCCCTAAGCTAGGCTGCTGCGGGGCATCGAGAGGTCTCTGTGGAGAGGGTCCACCCTAGCTTGTGGCTGGGACTCAGCCCATACTCATCCATGTGCCCCGACCCGGAACACACACACACACACACACACGAGTCTAGAACCTTCGCTTGCTCCAAAAGTCACACTGCAGGGCCCTTTATGGGTCACTGAGTCCAACCCTTCTCAGAAACCAGCAGTGAAGACACCCCCAGGTGGTTGAACCCCGAGAGAAGACAGGGGTTGTGTCGAGGCTGGAGTCTGAGCAGCCAGGCTTCGAGTCCAGGGATGCTGGGGTGCTGAGTGGCTTGGCTTTACTGACCTCACCTCTCTGGTCCAGAGGTCAGTCGTTGCTGAGAGATGTGATGAGAGGGTGAGGGCAGAGGAGGGGTGGTGGGTGCCAAGGGGCCAAGGCTGAGGGTGAGTGAGTGGAAGAGAACACCCCCCATAAAGTGCTTTTGGCAGTCAGGTTCTCCATCCTGCTGCTCTGGCCAGAGCAGCCCCTTCTCCTTCCTCTCCCTGCACCTGCCTCGCCCAGTCCCTTTGGCCATAAGGATGCGCTGGTCTTACCTCCCTTGCCTCCTGGCTCCTCCCCTCGGTCCCAGTGGTTCACATGCTGCCTCCGGGCCTCCTGGACCTCCCTGCCTGCCGGCCTCACACTGGCTGGCAGGCTGGGTGTCCCTGGACAGTCCCAGCTTGGCAAGAGTTAATTACCAGAGGAAGTCCTCACTCCCCCTGCAGTTTTATTTTCTTATAAACTCAGCTCCTTGTGGTAATAGTCCGCTTCCCCGGCGATGCCTCCCCTGTCCTCCCACCTGGGGAGGCCTCCGTCACCTGTGTCGGCTCACTTTCCCCCACGACCCCTCCTCTTCTTCCTACTTCTTCCTGACCCTCCAGGCTGCTGGGAATGTCACAGATGGGTTTACCCAGGAGAGGAATGCAGGGGCTGCATTATCGGGTGGGGGTGTGAACGCTAAAGAGGGGGCCCCAGAAATGTCTGCGTTCAGCCTCCTCCCATGTTGGGATCTTCTGTGTCCCCGAAAGCTTCTCACTTGTTCTCCGTTTGGACACCTCCAGGGCAGCTAGTTGTATAGTGGGGAGTCCTGGGTGTTAAAATGCACCCCCTCATGCAGCTCCTGCCTCTATTAATCCTCCGACATAGGTCCTTCCTGTGCTGAGGCTGGGAGGCAGCCCAGCCCCAGGGTTCCCCAGTTCCTCCCATTCCAGCCCCTGGCCCATCAGCTCTGGTCATCAATGTTCCTCTGAAAATGGACACCCAGACCAGACGCATCCAGGTCTGACCTCCGGGCAAGATTTCCCTGCCCTTTGGAGAGCCCCGCACCTGGTGACCGATGCCCAGGGAAACAGATGGCCCCGGAGGGAGAGCTACAGGGGCCGCTCCGGGGCCAAAGGCATGGGGGCCACTCGGGGAGGGGGTGGGAGTGGAGACCACCTGCTCCTGAAGGTGCCCTGGGAGGTAAGGACCCCAGGAGGGTCCCTGTCCAGGGGGAGGTGCGGAACCCACACCGCCTGCCCTCCGGGCCCAGCGCAGAGAGCCTTTCTGAGGTGTGGCCCGCGCTGAGGGAGGAGGGGAAATTGTGGAGAGGGGGTCCTTTGGGGTCTGAGGGCTCTGAGTGAGCAGGGCTCAGTGAGGGGAACGAGGGCTCAGTGAAGGGGGGAGTTCGCTCCTGAGGGGTCCACCGTAAGAAGGCGCGGGGCTCAGTGTGAGTGACGAGGGGTTAACTCTAGGTCTTTCTTCTTTCCCAACGTGGGGGGCTCAGCGTTGCAGCCTGGGCCCTTTTCCGCCCACCCCCACGCCCCTCTCCCCGCCCACAAGCCTCTGCGTGGGCTGCGGTTAGTGGTGGGGGAGAAGTGTGAACTCGGAGAGAGAGGATGGAAACTCTGCACAGAGGTCAAGGGCAGTGTAGGGTGGGTCAGGGCGGAAGTCGGAGACCCCCGTGTACCCTGAGCTTAGCCTCATGCCCCAGAAGCAGCGGGCCCAGGGCCTCCCCCTTCACGCTTCTCACCCTCCCTACTTCCTTTCTTTCAAGTCTCCTTCAGCCAGGCACCAGCTCACAGGAATTAACCACTGAGCACTTGCAGCCCTGGCGGGCGGGCGGGCGGGCGGGCGTGGGGCAGGGCTCTGCTATTGAGGCCCACCACTCCCACCTCATTGTGGTCTGAGGGATTGGTGGGCTTTGGACCGGCCTTGGTCTCGGGCCATTTCCCTGCCAGGAAGGCAGAGAGGAGCTCTTACCACACTCTCTCCCTCCATGGGAAACTCCACATCCTCCCCTCCCTTTTCAACCCAAGTCACTGAGCTGGTGTCTCCAGAAAAAGGATCAAAATGGTCTCCCCTCCCTCACCTGTGTCCTAGGCGCTCCCCTGACCCTTCCTCCATGCCAGACGCTATGCGAGGCAATTTACCTACAAAATTTCATTTAATTCTCACAAAAAAACCCACCAAAACCATGTGATGAAGGCATTGTCCGCTTTTACAGCTAAGCAAACTGAGGTTCAAAGAAGTGAAGTAATCAGAGACGCTAAGTGTACCTATCGAGCAGGTTCTGAGCAAATGGGTTTTTTTTTTCTGCTTCAGATCCTTCTTCAGGCTGGAGGCCCTTATATCGGAGGGGCCGGGTGATTTGTTGATCAAACCTGATCCCTGTAGCAAGTGCAAGGGGCACCGTTAGTATTTATGCTGGCGCCACCGGTGGGAACCAGGACAGTGCTGGGCAAACTGGGATGGGTGGCCCCTCACTGAACCAGGGACCCTGGTTCCCAGCCTCTCTGGGAGCGGCTCAGCTTGGCTGCGTAGCAGAGGCGCCCAGGCACCCTGACATCTCGCTGTGCTGGAAGCATGGCAGGGCTGCCGGGCTCTGCGGACCGCAAGTCATAGCTGGTCGAGGAGCGTGAAGGGGCGCAAGGCGCCTGAGAGGAAGTGGTGGAGCGCTGGGTTGTTGCAGAGCGACTTCCTCCTCCCGCCGCGGCCTGTAACCTCAAGTCCGCTCCATGGCCCGGTGCCTGTGGTCCCCTCCCTTAGGGTCGTGTGGGAAGACTGATGCTGGGTGTGCCTGTGGGTGGTGGAAAGTTTGGTCCCTAAATTTACCCACAGGGGGGAGGTGACTGGGGGCAACTGAGGGCTGCTGTGGGCAAAGATGGGAGGGTCAGGAGGGCTGGATGTCTGTTTTCCTCCCGATCCTGAGTCAGTGAATGATTCTGACTGACCCCATGGCCAGCTGGCCCCTGACCCCATTCCTGACCCTCATATGGAATCCCATCCCTGACTCTAACACTCTCCCTTATCCGGACCCCAACTCTGTCCACAGTCTTGACCGAAAATGATCAGCCCCAGCACTAAGCTGACCCTGAGCCCAGCCTTAACCTCGACCTCCAGCCCTTTCCTAATTCTCCTCCACGACCCCGCGCGTGAACTCCAACCCTGCCACGTCCTCACTGGCGCTCCAACACAGGGCGCCCAGGGGCCTCTGTGTCTCCCAGCTGGTTTGGGGCAGAAGGGCCTTTAGAGGAGGAGGACACCTGGGTCTCTAACCTTGGTAGCTTTAGCAGCAATAGTGAAGATTGTTGTTGCCAGGTGGGTTCTGAGATCCCCGACTTACGCGTGGGAAGAGTGAATGAAAGGATAAGTCAGTGAAGGGTGGAAAGGTTTGCTGCAGCGGGGCCCTTCTTCCTGCCAGCTCTGCCCTTGGCTCCTCGGAAGGTGCCAGCTCAGCAGGCCGAGGTGCCAAGAGCATGTTTGAATCCCGGCTCTGTGTCACCGCTGCTCGTGACCTTGGGCCGGCCTCTCACCGGCCCTGCCATTCCGCTGCCACACACGTCTAGCTCCTTCCTCTCTCCTCCCGGGGCGGCGGGGATGACGCTCAGGGCGCCCGGCCACTTTGGGGTCTCCAGCCTCTTCCTCCTCCTCCGCTGCCGTCCCGTCTCCACTTTCCCGCCCTTGCCGCTCCCTCCTGGAAGGCGGGGTGTAGCGGAGCGGTCAGAGCTCCCGTCCAGCAGCTCCATTACTCCTCGGCTCTCTGACTTTGGTCAAGGACTCGGCCTCTGGGGACCTCCATGTCCTCATCTGTAAAATGAAACACCGTAGGGTGGCTGTGAAGATTAAGCCAAGTTCCCAGCACAATGCCTGGCCTGTGATGAGCGCTCGTACAGGTGATTTGTGATTCTCCTCTCCCTGGGTCCCTCCCAGGTTCCGAGAGACTCGGAACGTCCCCGTAGTTGAAGCCATAAAGAAGCGCCCGAATGTCGTTCACCTGCCCCATGCTTCCCGACCGGCCTCGATGGTGGAAAGTAGCAGGGCCAGGAAGCCAGGAAACAAGGTGCCTTCAGGTGTACGCGTGTGACTCTTGGTTGTGTTGTGAAGTTGAGATTTTTTTTCCACTGAATTGGCAGTGTTTTCTAATGTGAGTCATTCGGGTCCTTAGCGTATTTTGCCGCCTGGCTGTGTGCATCTTGGGGTAGGGAGATGACACCCAATGAAGGGGGCGGTCCCAAAGGGTCATAGGGCATCAGGGGTTGGCTCCGACCGCCTGGCCAGGTCTCAGGTCTCTGGGGAGGCTGCCAGGGGTTCCAGCAGAACAGCCCCTGCCTGCCCCAGGCACCCAGATCAGAGCTGTGAGGGCTGGACATTCTGGCCAGGGCCGCCTTTCTTCCATTTCCTGCTGCTCTGTCTGTCTTGTTGTGAGGAGGCTGCCAGAAGCTGGCCCTGGAAACTGGGCTGGCTCCTGACAAGGGGAGGAAGGCAAGCAGGGGAGAGATAGGGGCCTGGGAACGGAGGGTGGCAGGTGAGATCTCCCAGGCGGGGTGTGAAGGCAGCGACCTGTATCTGTCACCTGAGATACAGCAGTGGCTGCGGACGGGGAGAGAAATGGTGGCTGCTTGGTCAGAGGAGGACGCTGCTCCGAATCACTGCCCTGCCCTGAACCCCTCCCATCCCCCCCCCCCCCCGGCGGGGTGGCATGGTCCTTCGAAAGCCCCAGTCTGATGGGGGAGACACAGCTCCTGCCCTCAGACTTCCCCAGGTATGAAGGGGGTAGCCTCCCACCGGGGAGTCCCCACGTTAGTGTGGGACACACAGACTGGACCTCCAGTCTGGCAGGGCAGGTGGCGTTGTCCCCACAGGCCCATAGGCTGAGTGGGTGGACACAGGACACATTTAGCCAACACAGGGGTTGCAGCCCTTCAGCGAGGGTTTCCGAAAGGACCCTCCTTCCTCCATCTCGGCCCACCATCTGATGGGCGGGTGAGCGATCTCCCTCCCTAAGGGGGAGGCTTGTCCCCCAAGAACCCCAGCCTGTTGGCAATAATTTTGTTTTGACCCAAAAATAGTTTTGTTGTGGGAGGCGCCATTGTCTCCCCCACCACCCAGCTCTAGTAAGAGAGCCAGCCAGGGAGTGGGGTGAGAGTGAGGGAGCTCAGTCATCGCCTGCCCTGCACCTCAGCTTTTCCTGCCCTCTGAAGCCCTAACCTCACGACTTCCCCTCCTCTCCTCTGGGGCCACACACACACTCACTCTCACACCGTTCCTCACACTCACCGTACTGGCCTCACACCTCCCTCCGCTCCCTCCCATCCACATCCATCCTCTCTCACATGCCCGTATCGTGGGGTGGGCAGGGCCCGAGTGAAGGTCTGGAGAAGTCCCCGCCTCATTCCTGCCCAGGGCCCTTCAGCCCCTGGGGCCAAAGGGCCTCCCCTGGGAAGTGACCCACCCGGAGTGGCTGTGCCTCTGCCTGCCCCTTCCCTCCAGCCCCAGAGCCCCTTCTGGACTTGGTACGATGGGGGATGCAAGAGAACCCAAACCCGGCCTCCCGGACTCTGTCCAAGCCCAGGCCGGAAGGCAGAGACCCCAGGCCGTGGCAGAGCCTCGCGTGAGGTCCGGACGGTCTCTCTGGGGCCAGCAGGCCAGGGTGGGGGCGAGGGGAGGGGCAGCGCTGACAGTGATCGGAGGTTCTGGGTCAAAGTGACCTAAAGAGAGAGGAACAGTCGGTTCCAGCTTGTGAGGGTGGGTGCCCAGAGAGCCGAGCAGGAAGTGGAGGAAGAAGGAAAAATGGATGGAAAGGCTCAACTCACTCTCCATGTCCTGGGTCCCAGGCCCTGGGCAAGGTGCTGAGAATAGGAGTGCAGTGATCGTTTCCCAGGGAAGTTCCAGAACCAGGCGACGTGGGTAAGTTTTCAGTGTGAGTGGTGCCCCCTGGAGGCGAGTGGGGCACAGCCCTGTGTTCCCAGAGATCTCCCTCAGAGGCAGCTTAGAGATGGAGGCAAGGGACCTGGACCCGGACCGGAACCGGCAGACTTGGGCTCCCCAGGAGGCCATGCCCTTCACTTCCAGAAGGGGGCTGGCTCGCCATGGGCCGTGCATCCGTGCTCCCAGCCTCTCACAGCCGAGGGCTCTTCGGGGACCCCCTGCCCGCGGCCCACGGATGGCACTTCCACTTTTAGTAGGTGCCCTCCGGGAAAACGCACGGTGACAAGAGCTGCTGTCGGTCCCGTGCGGCTTTTCGATGAAGCTGTGTTTTACTGGCCACCACAGCTTCTGCACAGATTGGAAAAACACTCACATACACCTGTGTGAGATCGTCCGGGCCGCAGGCAGTGCCTGGCGACACCTGGACTCAGGGACCCCCGGGCATCACTGAGCTCCCAGCCCCAGCCCATAGTCTGGGAACCACTGCCCTAGCCCCAGGTTCCATTCGCTGGGGAGAGAGGGCGGCTCCCTGGAATCAGGTGGCATTGAAATTGGGGTAGGAGGGCCCAGGAGGGGGAGAGGGCCAGGTGCTGGCGCAGAGCCCGTTCTTGCTCCACAGCCGTGACAGGAAACCCACTTTCCTCCTCTTCCCTGCTCCCTGCCCTCTGACCTCAGGGTCAGGGAAGGCGGGGGGCCAGGCCGTGACCTGGGGGACTGGGTGTCCTTCAGGGTGAACCTGGCGCTGGCGTACACGGAGCTGACGGAGGAGCTGGGCCGGCTGCGGGAGCTGAGTTCTCTGCAGGGGCGGATCCTGAGGACGCTGCTGCAGGAGCAGACGCGGAGCGGCGGTGAGAGGGGCCGGGCAGGGGCCGGGCCGGGCAGGGCAGGGCGGGGGGAGCTACGGAGCCATCCCGTGGCCGGGCCACCCTCCGCTTCCCTTCCCTCCCAGGCCCGATGCTCTTCCCTGGCGTGAGGAGGAGGAGGTGGGCGGTGGGCTTTGGTGGCCAGCCGCCCCGGCCCCCAGTCTGACCTCTCCTCTCCCCAGCGCGTCCCCTGACCCGGTCCTGCTTCTCTTCCAGGCCAGAGGCACTCGCCGCTGTCGCAGCGCCACTCCCCGGCGCCCCAGTGCCCCTCGCCCTCCCCGCCGGCGCGAGCGGCGCCCCCGTGCCCCCCGTGCCAGTCCCCCGCCCCCCAGCGCCGCTCCCCAGGCCCCCCGTGCCCCTCGCCCCAGCAGCGCCGCTCGCCGGCCTCGCCCTCCTGCCCCTCGCCCGTCCCGCAGCGCCGCTCGCCGGTGCCGCCGCCGCCGTGCCAGTCGCCCAGCCCGCAGCGCCGCTCCCCGGGGCCCCCCGCCGGCCCGGCCCCGCCGCCCCGGCCGCCGCCGCCCCTCCCGCCGCCCGGGGAGCGCGCCTACGCCAAGCCGCCCAGCCAGCTCGCCAAGGCCGGCTTCCAGGGCCGCCGCAGCTACTCGGAGCGGGCCGAGGGCGCGGGCTACGCGGGCGCCCCCCCGCCCTGGCTGCAGGCCGAGGCCGCCACGCTGCCCAAGCCGCGCGCCTACGGCGCCGCCGAGCTCTACGGCCCCGGCCGGCCGCTCAGCCCGCGGCGCGCCTTCGAGGGCCTCCGCCTGCGCTTCGAGAAGCAGCCGTCGGAGGAGGAGGAGTGGTCCGTGCCGCCCAGCCCGCCCAGCCCCGAGGCGGGCGCCATCCGCTGCTCCTCCTTCTGCGCCGGCTTCCCCGTCCCCGAGTCGCCGGCAGCCGCGGCCTATGCCCACGCCGAGCACGCGCAGTCCTGGCCGTCCATCAACGTGAGTGGGGCGCCCGCCGCCCGTCCGCGTGGGGGATCGGAGGCCTGGCCGCCGCACCCGCGCGTCATCCGAGCCCGCCCCGCGGCTTCCCGAGGGCCGGGGAGCGAGGTCCCCGGTGCAGGGCGAGGCCCTCCCAACCACAGCCCTGGTTTTGGTTCCAGACTCCACCGCCTGGTCGCTGTGGGGTCTGGACAAGGGGCCCACCCTCGCAGACCCTGAGTTTTCTCATCTGCATAGTGAGGGCAGTGATTCCGTTATCTGATTCCATTAGAGGGCTCCTGGGAGGGAGGCCACAGGCTGCCACCCCCCAGGACCTGAGTGGGACCCTCAGTAGTGAGCATCTCCTCCTTCGGCGACGGAGGCCATGCTGACCCCGAGGGTCCTGGCTGACGCGGGAACAGGCCTCAGAGCCCGTTTAAGACCTGTCTTAGAAGACACCCTCTCTCAGGGCTCCATCGTCTCACGGAAATAATGAGTTTCCTGAATGTCAGATTCAACTCCTGTCACCTCGAAGGATCCAAATACATTCCAAAGCCAAACAGAAAATTATTTTGGGTTATACGTGGCCTGGGACTATTCAGTGCTTTGAGTTATCTGGCAGCGGTGTCTTAGTCACTCTTGGGGGCATGTCTGGGTCTGGCCTTTCCTCGCTCCCCCAGAGGCCCTGGCAGATGTCCTGGCAGACTGAGCAAACCCACCTCCTTACACACACCTGCTGTGACCCGAGGCCCCGGGGTGGGGAGTGGATGCTGAGCTGGTGGAAGGTGGGCAGGGACGGGGAGGAGAGGGTGGGCACTGGACAGACGGTGCCCAGAACCCTTCTGCATGCGGCAGTCCTCCCTGCCCTGGGTCCCAGGGAAAGGGCAGGCTGGGATGTGGGGAGCACGGGGAAGGGTTGGGGATCGTAAGTGACTTCCCTCTCTCCCCGCAGCTGCTGATGGAGACAGTGGGCTCTGACATCCGCAGCTGCCCCCTCTGCCAGCTGGGTTTCCCTGTCGGGTATCCGGATGACGCCCTCATCAAACACATTGACTCCCACCTGGAGAACAGCAAGATCTAGGGTGCCTCCCCCACCCACTGGCTGTTTCCCTGCCCTCTCCCATCACCCCCAAGCACTCACTCACTTTGAATGCTGCATGAATCTTGTGGGGGGCCCCTGCCCCTCGCGACCCCCAGATACCTCCACTAGCTACCAAGTCAACGTGTGTGCCATCTTCCCTGGTCCAGGCACCACTCAGCCCTGGGTCTTCCCAGGAGGTCAGTCAAGGCTCTCCCCAGCTCCCTCGCTTCCAAGGGGAGATGGGGATCCAGGCTGGGACAGGGAGGGGGGACCCTACCCAGCCTCTCCCTCTGCCTTTCTGTTCTCAAACACAGTCGGGTCCCAGGAGATGGCTAGTGGTTGGGCCTGGGGGAGAGGGAGGGTATCAAAGGACTCCAGGAGCTCCCTCAGCCCCTCCCCAGACATCCATCTTTCTCAGGCCGTGCTCTGCCCGAGGAACACAGCCTGAGTGGGGTTCCAGAGCCTGCCCTGTGCACTGACACCAGTTCCTCCATCCCATGGCCAGCTCAGGGCAGGTGGCCTGGGCCCCTTTTGGGGGAAGGAGACACTTTGATTCTTGCCACTCTCTGCAGGCCAGTCCTGTTCTCCCCCTCTGCCCACCCTGGGGAACAGGGAGGGTGGGAGAGCAGAGGAAGGACCCTGAAGGACTGGAAGGATCCAGCCTAAAGAGGCTGCCCTATGGGCCAGGGGTCCCTGCACCATGACCCTCAGGCCAGGGGACTGTCTGTGCCAGCCTTCGAGGCCCGTGCGCTCCCCCTGGAGCCCCCAGCACCGAGGCACAGATGCTTATGACAGCTGCTCCCCTCCCCTCTTACCCCCCTCGAGCCCTGGCACCACAGGTACCCAGGATCCCGTGTGTGACTCAGGCTCTGTTAGCTGGGTGGGTGTCATCAGCCCTGCCTCCCAAGCCAGAACCTGAGGATGGGCCCAGGGTGCTGTGGAGATCAAATTCAAAAGAGCTAACCCCTTTCCCACACCCCAGTGACCCACATTCCCTCTGTGAAATCTACCTCAGAGTCGTACCCTCAGAAGGACGGGTAAGCAGGAGGCCAGGGGGTCCCGGGGCTGAGGTGGGGAGCTTCCTACAGCAAGAGCCTGCCACCCACGATGAATCCACCCCCCGCTGCCAGCCTCCCCTGGGTCTCAGCCCCAGGCCCGTGGCAGCGGACGCTACTGTCAGTGCATGTACCATTCTGATCCAACTCTTCCAGGCCCCTCCCTCCTCACACGTCTCCCCTCCCCCTCAGCGTGGGGGAGTGAAGGGGTGTGTCAGGCGGGAAAGGGGCCAAGGACTCCAGAGATGGCATTGTACCTTGAGTGTTCCTCCAGGGAGGGGAAGTGGGGACGGGGAATGCAGAGGGGAGGTGGGGGCCCCCGAGCCCTCTGAACAAGTTGAAAGTCCAAATAAAACTTACCTGTTCCATCTGCGCTCAGTCTGTGCCCTCCATGGCAGGGGTGGGGAGGGACCCAGAGGTCTTGGAAACAGTATCTCACAGATACACCACCATGGAGAGTGGTCATTGGGCAGGTAGGGGATGAGAGGGCACCCATGTCTCAAGGTGGTTCTGGAGGCATAAGCATGCGAGTGGCCGTAGATGACTTGTGATGAGTTTACTGAGGACAGATCTGGGGTAGCAGAGGGTGTCTCCGTGACAGAGCAGCCACCCCAGCCCTGAGCAGGTGTCGGGGTCTCTTGAATTTCCCTGCCCCAAGGTCTGGCAGGTGGAGGTCTGCAGCCCTCCCTGAGGGCTCATGTATTAGTAGCAGCTACTTCTTCATCAAATGGTTTCTGCCTTCCAGGAACCAGGCTGCGGCCTCAAAGAGGAAGAACATCCGCGTTCCATGTCCGCATGAGTCTGAGAGCAGGGGAAGGGCTGGGCTCCAGGCCGAGAGCTGCTTCAGAAGTCGCACAGCCCGGGAGGTCAGAGCCAGGTCACGAACCCTTGACTCCTGCTCCCGCCAGGGCTACCCTTTCTTTGCACAAAGGGCCTGAGGTTCTTATGCATCAACTCAGGGTGCCTTTCATTTCCACGTGATCCTTTCACCCTTAAAAACAAGAGGTGGGGGCAATTGCTAATTGAAGGCCCGAGGTTCAGCTCTAGACCCGGGGTGAACAATCTTCCCCACTTAGTGTCAAGGTCCAGATCCCCAGGCGACTGCCCAGCCCCGCTTGCTCCTCTAAAAGCTCATCCAGCCTTGATTTCATCTGCAGTCACGTGCTGAGGGACGGGAGAGGTGAGAACAGTGATCCCTATGGAACATGGCTTCACAAGTCGTGGGAGAGAAGGTTCTGGAACTTCTGGCACATGGAGGCTCAGTGCCCCTTGGTACTCCCCCATCTCAACTCCCGTGCCCAGGTTTGGGGTCTGGGTCCTGTTCGGGTCTTTGGAAGCATTTGCTGGAAGGGCGTGGATGAATTAGGGGTGGCACGGGAACACTAGGCAGAGAGAAATCCTGGCCATTGAGAAAGGAGGCGAAGGATGAGCTGGAATGAGCTGCTGGTAGGGGCACATCTGAAGGTTGGGAGGGTGTGGCGAGCGGCTACAGCGTTTGGACAGGTTCAAGCCTCGGACTAATGAGAGGGCACGGTCCTCTCGCCACGTGCAAGTCCCAGCACAATGACAGCCAAAGGCTATGGTTGTAAGCTCGACCTTATGGTCTGAACCTGTGGTCCCACGTGGTTGAGTGATAAGGGCTGAGGGAGGTGCAGCAAGTAAACAAAGCTTGATCAGGTGCCTGTAATTGAGTAGATTCGAAACCCAGGAGAACGTGGTAAACATCTTGACCACGCCCTTACTCTGCCGCGTGGAATCTGCTATAAAATAGACTCGGCTTGCAGGCCGTGGCTCTGTCTCTCCATCAGAGAAGCAGCGTCCCACGTAGCCCCAGCTTTCTTCTCTTGTCTGTCTTCTCCATCCTTCACCACCCCCCTCAGGTTCACCCATGGCCGTGCCTGCTCGGCAAAGGAGGGAACCTAGGGTTTCCTGCAACCTGGCCATTCCGCCCCGTCATCGGGTGAGAGAGCGTGAGGACAGAAGGTACAGATTCTGGCAGCTTGTCTCCTGGATTTCTGAGGACCTGGGAAAGGGCTCAGGTGCGGGGCAGAAAGCTGCTGGGGGCTGGGAGGGAAGGTGGGGAAATATGCCCCAGCCAAGGTCCTCCAGACCACAGCCTTCCGTTGAATGCCCCCCTCCCCCACCGAAGGAGAGGCTGTGGGGTTGGGGGGCTGGAAGAGGGGCTGAGGGGTCCTGCCTACACACCCCTCCCTTCCCAAGCAGGATGTCCTCAGATATAAGGACGCTGGCTCCTCGTTTTTCTAGGAGTGATGTGGGGGGCACTAAGGCCTGAGTGTGGGGGTGAAAGGGTCTAGATCTCTAGGCTCCTGGAAAGGTAAGAGGATGGGACAACCTTCACAGGAGCAGAGCAAAGTGGCTGGAAGAACCCTGCTGAGGCAGATACACCTGGGGCGGGGTGGGGGGGACACCCGCTTACTCCACCAGCACAGACCCACCGTGGGGGTGGGTTGGAGGGTGGGGGGAATTCACAGAGACCAGGTCACCCATGGTTTGTCTCCAAGCACCCAAAGAAAGGCCAGCACCCAACATATTTGCTCCAGCTCCAGCCCCTCTGCCCTTAGCCTCACCTTCAAACACTTTGCCTCATCTTTGGGGACCCTACAGCCCTGCCCCTATCCCCCCAGGATTTCCTCAGCCAGGGCTACCATGGAGACCCCTGCCCCACTCCTGGTCCCTGTGTCAGGGAATCAGCTGAGAGGAGCAACACTCCTTTCAGAAGCAGCGGTGGTGGTGGTGGTGCTGGTGGTGGTGTGTGTGTCTGTCGGGAGAGAAGCTGATAGCTAACAAAAGGGAGAGGCGTGTGGGTGAGTCAGCGTGTTAATGAGAAACGCCTCACCCCGCTGATTAGGACTAATGAAGAAGAACAGAGGGGGTGAGGGGTTCACGCAGCGGCATCTCTAAAGGGTGGGGGGAACGGAACAGCTTCCCTGGTCCCATCTCTCCCTCAGCAAGGACAAGAACAGAGCAACTCTGGCTAGCGCAGGAAGAACTGAGGTCTCACAGAGGAGTGACCCCGAGGGCAAGGGGTCCCACCTGGGAAGCGGTGGCTGAGGTGTCTGGGGCAGAGGCCAGATAATGGGAGGAGAGCATGTGGTGTGAGATCCTCTAGCACCTGCCCCTCTCCCTGCCCTTCCCTGACTTCTCCGTGTTAACGCCAGGGAAACGCTTGGCGCTCAGAGTGGTGCCCCCTGGCTGCCCAGGTGCCTCTAGAGATCTCACAGGTACTGCAGGGGCCGGGCAGGTACTGCGAGAAAGCTCCAGTGTGTGTCCTTCAATGGGCAGCCTGGGCGAGAAGGCCCCGCGTGGGGGCATTGACTGTCTAGATATCAGTACCCCGGGGGGCCCTGGCAGGGCGGAGAGCAGGAGGGGCAGGGGAGAGGAGGACCTGGGCATCAGCTGGAGGCCCTCTTGGTCCTTGTGGTGTCAGCCCCTGTTCCTGTGGCAGAAGCAGAAACCCTGAGAACCGGCAGCTACACCCACCCTCCATGCCAGTTCAGCCACGGGCAAGGGCACCAGGCGTGCCCGCAGATGTTCCAGCCGACTGTGTGGTGCGGGCACCGGGGGAGGGCCCGGGAGGGGGACAGGATGGGTGTCGGCCAGCACCCCTGACACCTCCTCATTTGCATTACCACTGACACCCTTCTTGACCAAGTAAATGGAGCCAGAAATAACAAAGGGGGAGGTGGTTCCCTGGGGTGGGGGGGTCGGGGAGGGGGCTGGCGGGGGGCTTTGAGACTGTCTTTCCTTGCCTCCAACACTCACACGGTGCTGGGGTCAGGAGGTCAGGCCTTTTGCAGCCCCACAGCTGCCTCCTGGCAGGGGAAATGCACCCGCTGTGGCTCCTCCCTCCTCAGATTGGGCAGACGCCCCATCTCGGCCTCCCACATCCCTATGCCCCAGACACCCCAGTGCTGCCCCTTCTTCAGAGCTGGCTCCACACACCCGTTCCTGGGGCCCCTCTCCTAGGCAGGATGTGGCACCCCAGCACTATGTCCTGCTCCACTGTCCAATTGGGCATTTCCCAGGCGGGGCCCTAACTGCCCCTACCAACCTGGGTCCAGTTTGGGGCCTCGGCCCTCGGATGGGGTGGGAGGGAGAGGGGACTCCCAGATCCGTTAGAGGCTCTGGGGCAGCTTCCCTCCGAGGTAGGGCCCAGGTGTCCCCCGCCCCAGGGACCACAACATAGACACCCAAACACATTTGGTGTTCATTTATGTGCGATGGGTTTACTTCTGTACCAAAGAGAGTAGGGAATGACGACGGCTCAGCCACGGCTTGGAGGTCGGAGACGGCAGGCATGGAGGGTCGAGAGAGGGAGGCTCGCTCTCTGCCAGAGGGTCTTGGGACCTGGCGGATCACGGTGGTGAGGGTGGAGGCAGAGCACAAGGGCCTGGCAGGGAAACCAGGTCGAGAGAGACAGCCAGAGGGCTGTGAACACACCGTGGGAAGGAGCGAATGATGAGCTGAGAACTTACTCCACTTCCCCCTCCAGAGATGCTATTTTGGAGAGAGAGAATATATGCAGTGCAGGGTGCAGGGTGCAGGGTGAGGGGAGCCTGCCGCTTCCACGGGGTCAGCCGGACCACCTGCTGCCTCCGCTCTGCCTGGCAGCATCTTCACGGGCCCTGGCACCTCCCACCACGGCACTCCCTCCCGTTGGGAAGTCTCGCTCTCCTGAGCACAAGAGGAGAAAGAAGGAAACTTGCAGCTGGCCTCTTGGCACCCCCTTGAGGGCCCTCTGGGGCCTCAGACCTGGGGAGAAGCTTCTGTTTCCATTACTTCTGTGGAATAAAAGTGTGGAGTGTCTTAGGGGCACGGGGTGAGGCAGGCACCAGGCACACCTCAGCGGGCAGGAGCACTCCTTGCCCCCAACTCCATACCCAGGCACTCTGCATGGATTCCCCTTTAGCATCAACCTTCGCCCGGGGCGGGGGGTGGTGGAGGGGGGGGAATTTGGTGTTAAAAGAGGCCAGGGCAGAAGGTGCGTCCAGGGCGAGGTGGTTGGCTCACAGGAGGTTCCACCCCTTCCCTTGGGGAAGCCGATCTTGATCTTACCCCTTTGGGCCACGGGGGTTGGACAGAGGTCAGTAAGAAGTCAAGCCCTTGCTTGGCATGAAGGGAAATTCCTGTGCCCCCGCTGAACCCCTCGGAGGGGCCCTGACTCATTTGGGGACGAAGGCTCCAGTGCCCTGAGGGTTTCTGTGGTGGCTGGGGGCAGGGAGGACAGGGCGGGTAGAAGAGCTCTGGGGGTGAGTGCAGGCTTTTGTTTTCGTTTTTGGAACTTGCCTCTCTTTCTGCTGGAGTCCAGCTCCACCTGAAGGAGCAGGGCTGGCTGAGATGTGCAGAG